TAAGATATAATGAATGTGTTGTTATGTGGTTATGGGGCCCAAAAGTTGCCCTGATGCACATGCAAACCCATTGGCTACCATCAGATTGTAAATAGGGTGCAAATCAGTGAGGGCAACATTTGCCCTTTGGCAAATAATTTGTCACCATTAGAGCTTTTAGAATCAACATCTTGTCCTTCTCTTGAAAATCAATTTTAAATACACAAACATCTGAATTGGTACAATAGCAATTTCTGTACTTTCAGATCATCAGACCAATGCTAACAAAAATGCCAAATGGGGTATTAAGAAGCACTACAGTAATGTTAATCTTTTGAGTGTGTAAATATTGATACCTTCTAGTTCATGCTTTTCATAGAGATGTGCACTGCCGAAGAAGTGTGCATTGATTATTATTCCACTGCATGTCACTCATGGCTACTCCCTCCAGAAAACAGATCCTCAGCACCGATGAACGATTTGTCTACACGGCACTGGCAAAGTGCACCAAAGGGGTGTGATTTGTGAAGCGTGGTACAGTGTTGTGCTCTAACTGCCCTTTAAAAGGTACCTAGTTCATGTTAATATCGTCCTGTTTCAAATGGGACTATGTGAATGTGAACCAGGTACCTTTTAGGGTATGTCTACACGTAGACTTCTGGGCTTGAGCTGGATCCTGAACTCGGGGACCCTCCCCCCTCATGGGGTCCCAGAGCCTGGGTTCCAACCTGAATGTCTACACTGCAATTTTATAGACCCACAGACTGAGCCCCATGAGTCTGAGTCAGCTGACCTGGGCCAGCCTCAGGTGAGATATTGCAGAGTAGATGTATCCTGGGTGTCTTTATGCCACTCTGGCAGCAAAGAAGACACTTACAGAAGCCTCAGGAAGACAGTTGAGAGCTCCCACAGTTCAGGAAAACTCTTGGGAGGTGTGAGGCTAGCGTAGCCAACTTCAGGCTACCTGGGCCCCTATTAGAGGCATGTTGGGGCAGGGCCAGAGCACATGTGGCTCCATCTGCTCCTTTGCAAGGAATCCATCCCTATGAGACTGTTCCACATAGCATAACCTAAAGCAGCTCAGAGTTTCGCTTTTTTAATTTTGAACAGAATAATTAAAGAGAGAGAGAGTCAAGAAAATCAGGGGAAGCAAAACAAGCTTTCTGAGTTTGTTTAGTGTGGATGCCGGCAAGCAGGTCTCCTGTAGCTCAGCAGAGACAGAACCAGGATACGAAAGGTTTTAGTTGTCAGTTGTGGAAAAACTCACGGATTGTCAGGATATTTTAGCAAATGAAATCAATGGGAGTAACTACAGTCACAATATGACCAATTAGAGTAAATTACGCTAAATCTCCAAGCCACAGGGGACACAAATTACAATGTGGTTGTTTGTTTACAGGCCAGCAAAGGTCGAACCACTCTTGTAATAGCTCATCGGCTTTCCACCATTCGGACTGCAAATGTAATAGTGGCCATAGCTGATGGTGCTGTGGCTGAAGTAGGAACACATTCAGAGCTGATGGAGAAAAGGGGGTTATATTATTCACTTGCAGCAGCACAGGTACCTTACAAAGATACTAAAGTTTTGCTGTGAAAGTCTTTGTTTGTGACATATCAACTTCATTTATTTAAAAGATAGAGCAATAAGCAGGTCACACATACTCTAGTACATGCGTTAAGTTCTTTACTCTGCCAAGAAGTGAGAGGCACAATGGTAACTAAAAGCCAAATCACCGTCTCCTGCAAAAAACCAAGATTGTTCTGTTCATACATGTCACTGGGGTTTGCGCCTCCCCCCATGCCTCCCCAAACCCACAGATACCCCAGGATGTGCTGAAATCAGGCCCCCTTCCCCACCCTCCAGCTTCCTTGTAGCACAGCTCCTTTGGCAACTGCTCTGTGTGGAATCCCAACTAATGGGGTGGATGGAAGCTTTCACAGCACAAAGGTGGTTCCAAAGAAAAGGTAACAGTCTAGTCTGTAATTCTATTGCCTAATTTTGATGTTGGATCCACACTACACACAGAATCTGTCAGAATACAGATGCCCCCTAACTTTGCTAGACAACCGGGTGCTTGTACAATTACAGTTATAGTGCAGGTGTGTATATACACCATTTTCAGCATTTCCCCCCACTGTTGCTCTAGCACCTAGTGCAACTTCAATGATAGAAATGGTGCTAGTGTACTGTAGGCAGAGCACAGGCATTTTTACTACCATGTTATCTAACCAGGGTTAGAATAGAGGCTGATCTACCTGAATAGAGTTCTGTCACCATTGCTAACCCAATTGTGAGAGATGTGCTAGTCGTTTTGTTTAATGGAGACAAGGCCTGGACTGGCACTAAGGCTGTGACACTGGAACAATTTTAAAGCATTTTTTTTCATACCATTTATGTTACCATGGTTTTAAAACCACTCCTGTTAACAACACAGTTTAAGAATGGCCAAGAGATAAAACTAGACTGTTTTTAAGCCGTATTTTAGAAAACTCTTGAATATACTTTGAAATTTGTTTGTTTTTAAAACACAGTTTCAAGACAAGTATGGCCTTCTGTGACCCTGGAAATAGTGTTTTAAACCATATTAGTAGGAAACTTTCTTATACGCTATACTTTAGAACTGTTGTACTGTCATGGATTCTTTCATCTGTGCAATTCAGAATCAACTCACTTTGATACTCTGGAGATGTGGGAAGATAAACTAGAAGGAAATTCAGAAGAAATTGTTTCAAAATACTAAGAATGAAATCCTCCCTCTATCAAAGTCAATAAGAGTTTTGCCACTAACTTCAATGGGGCCAGGATTTCGGCCTAAAATGGTGGAACAAACATGTATTCTCATGAGTTTTGCAAACCATTTAAAAAACAGAATTAAAACAATATGTCAAAGTATTTTTTAATGTATTGTTTGCTTACAACCTTTTGGGCCCACTTCTGGAAGTCAATGGAAGCTCACAGGAATAACTGCACAGGATTAGGCTCTTTGGAAGAAAGTGAACATGACTTCCTTAATGCTTGGCACAAAATGTTAGCTTTTTGTGTAAATATGTAGAGAACACCGAAGATGCCTGTAGCTGGATTTCAGGACGTGAGGAGTGAGAATCCAATAACTAGGAGAAATACTCTTA